TTGCTTTCATCTTTCTCTGCTGAAGTCCATACTGCCAAATTTTCATATTTCCACAACAAGATCAGCAGTGCTCCAGACACACATAATCTCTTCAAAACATTAAATTATCTCTTCTATCCCCCTCCACCACCTCCTACCACTTCTATAACAGCTGATGATTTCGCCACATTCTTCACAGACAAAATTAGAACAATCAGTAGTCAATTCTCAGCCCCACACACACAGGACCTCAAACCAAACACACCCACTGCTAAAACTCCCATCTTCTTCTTCTGTCCCCTCACTGAAGCAGAAGTATCAAAACTTCTCTCCAGCCATCCTACAACATGCCCTCTAGACCCAATCCCCTCACACCTTCTCCAAGCAATCTCTCCTACACTCTTACCAGCACTCACACACATCATCAACACACAGGCACCTTCCCCACTGCATTCAAGCAGGCTCGGGTAAAAAAAACCTACATTAAACACTTCACTTACAGATAGCTACAGACCTGTCTCTCTCCTTCCACTCATAGCGAAAACCCTCGAACAAGTTGTTTTCAATCAGGTATCATTGTTTCTTTCACAGAACAACAAACTGGATGCTAACCAGTCAGGTTTCAGGAGTGGCCATTCAACTGAGACTGCGCTACTGTCAGTCACGGAAGCCTTGCTGATTGCAAAAGCTGATTCCAAATCATCAGTTCTTATTCTGCTGGATCTATCTGCTGCTTTTGACATTGTCAATCATCAGATCCTCCTGTCTGCCCTCTCTTCACTGGGAATCACAGGATTCAAACCAGCGAAGTGGAATCCCTATCTCACTGGTAGGTCTTTCAGGGTGGCCTGGGGAGGGGAGGTATCCAAAGCTCATCAACTGGTCACTGGGGTTCCTCAGGGATCAGTTCTTGGACCCCTCCTCTTCTCTATATACACTACATCACTGGGTCCCATCATACAGGCACATGGCTCCTCCTACCATTGCTATGCTGCTGACACATAGCTCTATCTTTCATTTCAACCAGATGATCCAGCGGTAGCTGTACGGATCTCAGGCTGCCTGGCGGACATCTCAGCGTGGATAAAAAAACATCACCTACAGCTCAACCAAAGACTGAACTTCTTGTCTTCCCTGCCACTCCAACTCTACAGCATGATTTCACCATCCAGCTACATTCTTCTACAATTACCCCATCAACTTCGGTCAGAAATCTTGGTGTAATCTTTGATTGTCCATCAAGCACAATCAAACCTCTACAAATGATTCAGAATGCAGCGGCACGACTGGTCTTCAACGAGCCCAAAAGAGCCCATGTTACACCTCTCTTCATCTCCCTGCACTGGCTACCGGTTGTGGCTCACATCAAGTTCAAGACATTGATGCTTGCATACAGAACAGGCTCAGCACCCGCCTACTTCCACTCGCTATTACGAATCTACATCCCCTCCAGAAGTCTGAGATCCGCTAGTGAGCAACACCTCGTGGTACTATCACAGAGAGGCTCAAAATCACTTTCCAGAGCATTCTCGTTCACCGTTCCTGGCTGGTGGAATGATCTTCCCACTCCTATCTGGAATGCTGAATCCCTGACAATTTTCAAGCGACAGCTGAAAACTCATCTTTGTCGATGCTACTTGACTTCATCCTAAATAAAAAAAACGTTGTCTTTCTGTTTATTTATTCCTTTCCTTTCTAGCTTTTTCTTATTTTAACAAATTCCTGAAACTTGGTATTACGAGCACTTCCTGTGTCTGTTTGCCTCTTTAAGAAGAATTGCTTTATGTATTCCCCAATTGTAAGTTGCTTTGGATAAAAGCGTCTGCAAAATGACTAAATGTAAATGTAAACGCAATCTCTGTGTAAAAATAACAATGATGCTGGGATCTTTTTTACCCCCCTGTAATTTGGCTCTGAATCTCAGGTGAAAATGATCATTTTGACCCCCCTCTACAAAACCGTGGAATACTCAGTAAATATTTATCCATGAAATTTCATATTTTGGCTTTCATCATTATACATGTTTATCTTCCTTCAGAAAAAATATTAACTAAATTAAAACTTTAAGCCGGTGAAGTTTCTGAAGTTTGGTTGAATAGACAGACACAGAATGACCCATATTTATACTGCAAAAATAACTGTGTAGACAGCAGACAATAAACAATTCTGTAATGTTAGTACATATTCAGCACAATCTAAAACAATAATGCACAAGATAAAAGATAAAAACATTGGTTTGAAGCTGCCGGTGAGATATTAGGAGTTTTTTTTATCCTTTTATCTGTCCTTTAACTCTGAGATAAAGATTGTTTCGCTGCCTGGCCTCAATTATGGCTCGTAGGCCTTCTGTGATATTTTCCTTACTTGTCCTTGTCCTATTTTTCAAACAAATGGCATGTGTTCAGAGAGGTCATTCCTATTTTGTAGTACATTTTCATGTTCCCATATTAATACAATGGACAATTTTAAACTCACAATTTACAAATTTCACTACTTTGGTTTGGTTTTAGTGGATGTTCTTTCTTGTCATGTCTCCAGGTGCAGTTTCATTAGTTTAATTTGTTTATTTATGTAATCAAAATTATAGCAATGGCTAACTTTTTATTTCCATCCTGTTAGGTGCCATACTAAAAGCTCCAGCTCATTTTGATGCTATTGTGCAAAAAATGGTAAGTTAAAGGGATAAAGTTTAAGTGCCTGGGTTAGATCAGAGCATTTTTTTTTAAAGCCTGGTATAGGCTATCTATTATAGAAATACTTTCTTAATTTACAACACAGACTTTTTTTGTGTTTTTTTTACAGAGTTCAAAGTATACTACTGTATGAGAGCAATAACCAAATGACCTAGTAAGCTGCTATAGGCTGAAGTTAGACATCTTTATTACTACAGGGTAGAGGGCATTAAGTGTTGATTACAGGGTGGAATTCATGTCAGATGCAGTTGCAGACATGCAAAAAAATAAAAAAAATAAAATTAAAAAAATGAAGAGGTGCAGTAGGGTAATCTTAGGCCTCCAAAGATTCATTTTTAACACCACCATGAGATCAAGAAGTGACGTCAGACACGTGAAGGGGGTCAGGATGAAAAAAAGGTGTTAAAGTAGTCTAGATTCATGTTAAAATCACCTCACATGATGAGCGAAGTGCCTAGAAGAGACCGAGAAAGTGTTCAATTCATCCAGGATGTATAAAGGCAGCAACAAACAGCAAGCAGTAATTCAAGACTGTCTGTGTTCAGAGTTTCTGTCACACCTGGTGAGCGTAAAACTGCTTAAAGGGATAGTTCACCCAAAAATGAAAATGTGATGTTTATCTGCTTACCCCCAGGGCATCCAAGATGTAGGTGACTTTGTTTCTTCAGTAGAACACAAATGATGACTTTTAACTCCAGCCGTTGCAGTCTATCAGTCGTATAATGCATGGCAATGGTAACAAAATCTATGAGAGTAAAAAAAAACATGCACAGACAAATCCAAATTAAACCCTGCGGCTCGTGATGACACATTGATGTCCTAAGACACGAAACGATTGGTTTATGCCAGAAACC